TGAATCTACTGTAGATTCATACAGTAGATGTTCTAACGGACGAAATCCAGGGATTTATACACAAACGCTTCTCACATTGCGTCACCCAGAACCTAACAGGAACGATGGTTCTCAAAAAGAAGGTATATTGGGTTTCGTTAAATAACATTACGCTTTTCATAAGCACCAGTGTTATAGCCCAGTTAGTTCGGCATCGCCAGTTGTTATAGCCCAGCATTTCGAACCCGATTAATAGGCAGAAGAAGGCAAATGAGTGGTACTGATAGCAAGCCTTTATTAAGGACGGTACAGAGACAACGACATGGAATTAGCTTGTCCACCACAGCCTATTATAAGGCTTCGGTCCTTCTAGACTAATCCTGACCAATCACATGCGAGGGGGGATTCTGGCGTGCATGCTGATTCGTGGTTCCTCACACTGCGAGACATCTCTAGGACATCTGCAGTGCACGTGTGCGCGGGCGTCACGTGTGCTCGGGGATTGCGCGGCCGGCCTGCGGCCATGACTCAAATGGCGTGCACGTCTCGTCTCCATAACAAGCAGCTTCTGTAGAAAAGCGCAAAATTACGAAAAAGTAGAAATTAAGCTTACTAAGTAAACTTAAGTTTTACATTAAGAGAAGGTCTGTTCATGGAAAAAACGAGTAACGTTTTGAAAAAACTGCTTTCAGTAGGATATTTCTACGTCGAATAATTGCGTACTTTGCCTTTTGTGAAGATTTAGTCAACACGAAAATGGGAAACGTTGAAAAATTTGTTGACTTCCCTAAAAAATAACGATATATCTTCTGTGGAAAATGAACGAACCGGAACAGTTTTCAGTATATATGTTTATTTTTAGGCCTCGTTTTAAGATGACAAAAGTCTAGCAGAGTGGCAGGATCTCAAAAACGACTTTGATAAAATTGATAATCACCTGCGCGTTCCGTTTCATTTCTTCTGTTCACTGCTTCAGTTCTATAGAACTACAACTTACGGTCCACTATGTTTATTACAACTATTTATGGCGCAAAACGTAACAGATTTGCATAACGGAATTTGGTAAACTGACTTTGCTCTTCTGTTTTCGATAATAATGCGCCTCATATCCACCCAACAGACAAAATAAACAACCTCAGATGTGTGGTAAATCGTCCCACTCAAATTTTGATCTTCACATTTCATCAGGTATACAATCAACTGTATAGCAAACAAGAACGTTTTTGGTGGAGAATATCGCACGATGTAAATGCTGGGGTGTCCTGTTACTAAACAAAAACCTGTTTTTCCCATGCACCCATTTAGTGTGTCACCCACGCCTGCCAGCATCGATTTGAAGACAACAAAAATGCGATTGAGATGTTTCGAAACTGGCTAGAGCGGAATCCCGCCTTCAATTGTTTCGTCTCCGCCGAGCATGGCAGTGAAGCCCTCCTACGGAAATGCTACCGTTTCAGTACAGTGGCCCTGAGTGCTAGCCTCCTCGGATGCTGTATTTTGGTATCCCTCGCGGTACTCATCTTCCTCTGCAAATACGACCGATGTGAAGTGTGGAACGACGAGGCGCCATTAATTGCCTAACATGTGGTTGTTGCACCAGCGTTTTCGTTAATAAACTGTTACTAACAACGTTTAAGTAGTTGGTGTAATGATCATATTATTTCTTGGACAAACCTTCGTGGCCTAGGACTACCTCATGTAAAGACGCTCATGCAGGCAATATATTCGTAATCAGCTCAAATGTATTTAATATACTGCAAGAAGAAAAAGGTTTTGCACTTACATAACTACAGGAGCAGTTACGAGTAGTAAAATTTAAGGTCACAGTATTAACGCAATCTTGGAAAACGCCTATGCAGAGCTAATTTATGCTGATATCGGAATGAAAGGAAATGAATATTTGCTTGATGGGTAGAGATCTAATTTAATGCACTCGAAAATCCCATCCTTGTGTAATACGGGGCCGGGTGGAATAAAGATTGTAATATAGAGGAAAGGAAATGTGGGAAAAGGAAGAGTAATTATTTCAATAATCTAATGTTCGTCAACAAAAAAGGGCGCCACCATTTAAAATGTACAAATACGCATATATTGGGAACTGACTAAACTGATCAACTAAAACTAAAGTCAACTTACTGAAAAGGGTAAACTAAAACAGGCGAAAATCACTTAACTGAAAAGTACTATAAAACTAAAGTGATAAAACATAATACAGTGGAGTCGGGTTAATGTGGACATGGTTAATGTGGACACGGTTAATGTGGACAACCGCTTAATGTGGACAGTTGG